TTTTGGCCTTGTGCCCAGGCTTAATGGCCTTGTGCCCTGGAAAAAATATGAATAGCCAAGGCCAAAGTGGCTGTGCCCTCCTAAATCCTTATGTCTAGCCCTGCTGTGAAGTATCTAATTACTTGATAATAGACTTGATTACTTGATAATAAAACCTACTACAATTTGAAACATAAAATATAAAATAAGGTAAAGGTAAGGTAAACTGTCTTGATTTTGAAGCCATTCTACACATTCAGAATATAAGCAAAGCTGCTTATGTTGAGGTGTGTCTCTCTTCCCATCTCACCAATGCAAATCTCACAGGAGCAGGTTTTAAAATTGCTGCAGGTGGGGGAGCGCAGATGAAAAATGAGCAGCAGGTCTAGAGTTTTATCTAGCGCTAACCACAAGGATGCTCACAACAGACAGCACTCTCTCTGCTGGGGGATGGGGGCAGGTTAACATGGGGGTGCATTTTTGAAATGTTGCTAACATTATGGATGGCACCCCCCCATCCCCTGTCAAATCACCAGCTGAATGTAGGTAATTCTCAGCATCGAATGTACTGAAGAATAACTTGAGCTTATTTGAAGATTTTTTTATTTTAATATCTGAAAATGTAACATCAGCTCCACTTAAGCCCGAATTTTTGATACATTTTAGTTTAACAGTTTGGTGATTCTTCCAAGCATATCTCTTGTGTTAAAGTCCGTATTTCATCTTATACAGTTATTAAGAAAGGAAAGATAATTGACACAGGAATGAAATATGACGAACTGTAACATTTATTTATATTTATGATATTTATTTGATTTATAAATAATATTAAATAATTAAAATTATATTGATAAATGATCAGAAACATAGAGTGATCACTGTGATCCAGTGTCTGTAACTATGTTGTGTGTTTTGTTTTCCCAGTGACCCACTCAATGCAGTATATCTACAGTGCTTCATCAGGGATACCAAACTTCCCAGAGTTTGTGTCTGTGGGGCTGCTGGACGGGGAGCCCATGAATTACTATGATAGTAAGATACGCAGAATGACTCCTCGTCAGGACTGGATTCCTCAGGCTGTGGATGCTGCATTCTGGGACAGGAATACTCAGAATCTCATGGGTGCAGAGTCGGTGTTCAAATCCGGCGTAGAAATTATAAAGCCACGTTTCAACCAAACCGGAGGTAAGTGCTGCATGTTTACGACAGTGACCCTGACAGCTGCCGGCTGCGCATGTTTATCTGATGGCTTTATTTACAGTGATTTATTCTTACACGAGTAAAAATAAAATTACGGAAAAATAAGAATTCTGCTAATGGGCATTTTGTTATTGTGTGGAAGCATGTGCAGACTGTTAAAAAATATATCAGAAAACAAGTAGTAAACTTGGTCATTGAATATCGCAAATGTGACACTAAAATCCTGCTGAATACCTCCTAATGAGACAGACCTGCCCTTTACTGATACTGTATCCCAAAAATAAAACTATCGCTGCTGTTCCATGATAAAGCAAAGACAGATCAGAATGTTCACTGTAATTTATCATCTGGTCTATAAGTCATATTCTTATAATGAATACATGAAAAGTGGAGGCAGTTATAATTATTGATGCATGTTATTGTTCCCAGACAAGGCTTAGCTTGGCTGTAGGCAGGCTCAGCCCTGTGGGGGGTCCAGGGGACGCCTGGCCTCCTTCACTGTGTGGCCCTGATTTGGGGGCTGAGTGAAGCTGCCAGTTTCCAGTACAGACACACACTGGTGCAGGTGGATGTACACGGTGTTCCTCTGGCTGGTGCCCAGTGGAAATCCCAGTTAAGACAACTGCTGCTGCCAGTTACTCTCCCACAGAGGAGATGTGGTCACAGACAGGACTGTCCGCCTCCAGCTGCACTGAGACTCGCATGTGGGTCTGGGTGTCCAAAGCCCAGGCCGCCAAGCAGCTCTGCCGTCACAAACCACGGTGACGGTCGTTCGGTTTTGCCGTAGAGCTGCAGTTTGGTTCATGACGGACTCAGAGTTATAGTGACATCCATTCAGTGGGAGTCACTGGAGCAGGGGACTCAGACGCTGTCATTACTGCCCCTAGACGGGATCGGCCCTGTCACCTCTGCTGCTCCTATTCCTGCTTATCAAAGCTCCTGAAATCATCCACTGCACGTGGCAGGAGCTGCACCCCACTGGGGCACGGCCATGTGACCCCTTCCCCGGCCTGCTCAGTGACGCCCTCTGCAGGCTTCATGTTAATCATCTTCCTTATGCCCCCCATCAGCGCCTCCTATCAGCTCAGGAAAACGCGCCTCAGAGAGTCGGCTCTGACGGTGAAAACGCTCCGTGGGCTGCGACAGTGACTCTGTATTCATGATGGCGGCTCGGGTGTTCGGCCAGACTGCCTGCTTGTCTGACAGCCTGATTGTTTTTTCCCCTTTAATGACCCTGCAGCCTATTAAGCAGTGATTTATACACACATTCATTAAAACCCTTTTAGCGGTGAGCCAACACTCTCTGAGGTTAGACCCCATCAGCCTGTTCAGCGTGACGTTAGATGAGCTGCACACAGCAAATGGCTCCATGTTATAACAACTGCTGCCGTTTCGCCGTCGTGCCGCTGAGTCCGTCTCACGCTGCCTTGACTCCGCAGCTCCCGAGAGGCTGGATCCTTCAGTCTGTGGGATGTGAGCAGGTAACAGCAGGGGCTTCAGCAGTGAGCCTCACGCTGCAGCTGGAGCTGGGATCAGACCCCAAAGCCACCTGCTGTCTCCCGTTACGGTGACATTACAAGGGCGTCTCGGGGTTAACGAAGGGCGTCACATTAGGATGTAGAAAGAGAAACGCAGCCAATCCGGCTGCTTGAGGTTAATAAAACTGCATTTTTTTGAAAAAGAAACAAAACAGTACAGAACAAGGGGGGGGGAGCTAGCGGCAAAATACTAAACAAAAAAAGGTGCCCTGGCTGGGACTCGAACACAGACGTCTCATGCGGCAGGTAAAAATTCTACCAGGGCACCAATAACTAACGAAAGAAGCAGCTCTGTAAACAGAAAACACAAGAAAAATACAAAACCTGACCTGCCTCCCTATATAAACCAAAAACAGGAAAAAACACAACAGCTGAAAATAAGTGGCAGTCACCCCCCCCGATCCTGAGAGCGCAGTGTGCATCTGACACACCCTGGTGCACGTGAGGCACCAGCATGTTCACACCGATAACAGCATCACCTCTCCGTATACATACTGCGTTACACCACAAGCAGCCCAGCGGAGTGTTAATCAGCGACAGCGGCGCTGAACAAAGCGAGAGGGGAACCTCCAACATCCTCCATGAGGCCATCAGTCCATGAGCTTTAAAAACCGGCACGTCCGGGGCGGCCAATCCGCTCGCTGCACGTAGGATGAGGTCAGGGACCCGTCACCATGCCGACCGAGGATGGGAAAGA